CTTAAAGGGCAAGCTAATGCCCACGTCTTACAAAACAATTGTGTTTCTATGGTGAATAATGTTGCTCTATTTCTTCATCTATGGGCGATCGATTGATGTGGGCGAAATTATATTCGAACAGATCCATGAGTGTGCCAAACTGGCGAAAGGTAACTTACTTTTTCCTAATCTAATTATGGCTTTCTGCAGGAAGAAAAAGGTCTCTGAGGAGCCCTTAGAAGAGATTATCAAATCCAAGGATGGCATAACCAAGAAGAAGGTACCTGAGCTAATGAGTTTCGATGATAATGCTCTGGGTGAGGGGTTAGAACATGGTGCAAAATCAGTAGCCACGACAAGAATGGCGGTTGTGGTCACCGAGAGTCGGGAGACAAGGGAGCAGCTAGAACACTTAGAAGGTCACATGCGAACCTTCTTCAATTATGTCAAGGCAAGGATGCCCAACTGAACGCCTTCTTCAAGGAATTCTTATTAGTTACCAATAAAGACCTACCGCCTTTTCTTGAGGAAATATTACGCAAGAAAATCCCCACAGGCGGCAACACATTTTTCACCTTGGCACAAAATGTTCAGCCCGATTCCCCAGTCAATGTCGCCCCACTCACCACACATGCCTCTCCAATCCATGAAGAAGGCCAAGGCCAAACGGATACGTACCTCAGCTTGACCTCTTCCTCCTCAGAGCACACTAAGAAAATTTCGTCTGAATTTTTCAAAGCCAAATATTTTGCCTCAGGCACAATTTTTTATAAACCAGTTGATGAACAAGGCCCTGAATAGCCCCCAGATTTGAACAATGAACCGATTGTTGCAACCAAATCTAGACAACCCTTACACGTACATGCTGAGACCTCTCCAACTGATGAGATTTCACCACCAGACAGTCCTCCCAGGACCCATCATCGCCTCAAGCGCTCAGTTGTTCGTATTGTTATACCATCTCCATCATCGCTTCCGTCATAAGAAACAGGATTTGTCATCCCTTCTTCTCTCAAAAGACGCCAAACCCGAGCGTCCAGCAGAACTACCCCACCACAATAAGATACAATTTTCCATTTGCATTTGCATCACATTTTAGAGTAATTACTTTACCATTTTCATGCATTGAGGATAATGCATCCCTCAAGTTTGGGGGAGGTCTTGTGCTTCACACTTAGTTACTTGCATTGATAATGATTGGTAGAAATAATTGTTGTCATGCCATGTTTTATATTAGGATAGTTGTTTCGAATAAGTTGAGGATGTCTGATGATGAAAGCAATTTTTTATTGCCTAGGACAAAAGTATTTTACATGGCTGTTGAAGGATAGAACTGACCTTAGTACTTGACTCTTTGTGATCCTGTTAACACAATTGTATGGTTTCTTTGCTTAAGGTAGTTAGAAAATTTTTAGAAAAGAACTTTTTGTGCGTTGTGGCTTTAAATAATCGAAAAGATTAAGTTGGACTCCTTAGTGTTTTAAATTGTGTTGAATTGCAAATAAATGCTCTGGCATAACTGTAGAGGGACACTCCTCTGTGCGACTGCATGATCGGGAAACTCCCTTAAATAAATGGTTGCCTCGACACATGAGTGAATAAAAGCAATCACGGGATGACTCTACCTGACTAGCTCGGGGTGGAAGGTATGCTCCATTTCACCTAGAGTGTGGGACACTAGATGTGATGAGCTGACTCTCCTCAAAACAATGAAAAAAAATGAAGGAAAAATATTTGATGTTACATGTTGAATAAACAAGAGTGAAATTGTGTTTAATAAATAATTTTATGCCTCAGCAAACTAGAAGAACTTACCTAGGTGTTTTCTAATTTTGTTAACAATAGACTAAATACAATCACACACACACTGTCAAAAAGTCCTGACCTAGGGAAGGGTACTTGACTATTATATTACTTGCATCAATTGTATACTTGCATAAATTTGTGTGCCATAACACATACATTTACACACGATCAGCTATTGATTAGAACTTTAATTATCTAGTTTCACCAAAAAATACTTTACGTTCTTAAACGAAAAATAATATATTTTTAAGTATTTATTTGTAATATAAACTTTTTTTAAAACTTTTGTTGTTTAGTTTAATCCCTTCTTTTCTTTGCATGTTAATTAGTTAACAATTGATTTCATTTAAAAATTGGAAGTATTACATTTTGAACATTTTGACTTTTACTCATTTTTCAATATATTCCTTGATTTCAAAATAATTTCTTTTTTAAAAATTCTTTTCAATTTGATCATCAATTAAAATTTGATTTCATATGAATTAGATTGAGAGTCTAATCTAAGTATTCTCTACTCATTTTTTCTCTTAATTTATGGTAATGATTTTTTTTAGAATTTAAACAATGGATGTCAGGCGGTACAGAATCAAGTAATGAAACATGATAGTGATCTAGAGTGGGCATCTTTTCCAATCGGTCAGTCACCATGCTAGATTCTCGTATGACCTAAAAAAAACTCTGCAAACCATGCTTGATTTTTAAATAACAGAGTTGACTTTTAACATAGGAAGAGGGTTGAAGTATGCCCTCGGGGCAAGGACTAACTTCATGACTTCTATACAATCTAATTGCACTTGGAGTAGTTCAAAACTGTGGGTCCATACCACTTGAAGACAATGTAGAGGCTCCACCTGTATAGTCTAATTGCACTTGAAGTCGTTCAAAAGGGTGGGTCCATGCCACTTGAAGAGTAATGTAGAGGCTCCACAATTCAGCTTAAAGAGGTGTGACGATGTCGAGAGATTTTTGAAAGCATAATCCAACCACCGTTAGAGCGAAACACACCTCTAATTCGAAACTAGCGGTAGATAATATCGAGAGCTCATAAATTAAAGTAGATGACGTCGACAAAAATAAACGAAAGTCGGTGAAAAACAAAACACATTGCATCACTTCCAAATCTGCCAAAGCTACATACTTATATGATGTGTGGCTGCACATGATAAATAGAAAACTTGGAATAAAATCCCATCTCTGTAATTATCTTTATCAAATGTAGTAAAAATCTTAAACATTATCATTCAATTGCAATTACTTCAGATTTTGCCTAAAAAATAGTTAATCGAATAATTTCTCCAAACAACTCTTGAAATTCTCTTATCAAAACTTTATATTCACGTTATTTAACTTCTTTGTACTCATATAAACCTCCTCGTATTGTTTTCAATCGTATATCTCAACCATCCATCTACAGTATTTTTAAATCAGCACAATACTAAAAAGTTTTATACTAGTACTTATATATATAGAGAGAGAGAGTTAATTGTATCATATGTCCCTAAATTAATATTCTTATTTTAAATTAGACCTTAAACTTTTAAACATTCTAATTTCATCCCCAAACTATGACTCTCATTCTAGATTACTCCTTAAACTTTTGAACATTCAAATTTCAACCCTAAACTATGACTATCATTATAAATTAGTCCCTAAACTTTTGAATCTTCTAATTTCATCCCCAAATATATAATTAGTTTCAACCATAGTTTAACCTAAATTTTTTTTCAAACATAAAATAATATGACTTTGCCTAATGATTTTATTAGCAAGGGATGCGACTAGTATATATGTATAATGTGAGTTGAATTTGAAATGTTCAAAAAGTTTAGGGACCAATTTAGAATAAAGATCATAGTTTGGGGAGTAAAATGAAAGTTCAAAAAGTTTGAGGATCATAGTTTAGGGATGAAATTAGAATATTTAAAAGTTTCGGGACTAATTTAGAATGAGTGTGATAATCGAAGGACAATTGATGCAAGATAAATAGATAGACAGATAGACAGACAAACAGACAGACAGACAGACAGACAGACAGACTGATAGACAGACTGATAGACAGACAGATAGACAGACAGATAGATAGACAGATAAATAGACAGACAGATAGACAGACATTGATAGATAGATTGATTGATTGATTGATTGATTGATTGATTGATTGATTGATTGATTGATTGATTGATTGATTGATTGATTGATTGATTGATTGATTGATTGATTGATTGATTGATTGAATGATGGATAGATGGATAGATGGATAGATGGATAGATGGATAGATGGATAGATGGATAGATGGATAGATGGATAGATGGATAGATGGATAGATGGATAGATGGATAGATGGATTGATGGATAGATTGATTGATTGATTGATTGATTGATTGATTGATTGATTGATTGATTGATTGATTGATTGATTGATTGATTGATTGATTGATTGATTGATTGATTGATTGATTGATTGATTGATTGATTGATTGATTGATTGATAGATTGATTGATTGATTGATTGATTGATTGATTGATTGATTGATTGATTGATTGATTGATTGATTGATTGATTGATTGATTGATTGATTGATTGATTGATTGAGTTAACCCACCAGACCATAATGGATTCAATTTATGCAGTTTGGAAAGGCGGAAAACCAAGTCGAAGAATCTAAGAAGAGTGAACAAGGTTGGTTAAAACTCTTGTGCAGTAGAATTCAAACTATGTAGGAGTCCTAAGAGATGTTGACCTGACCACGTAAATATATCTTTATCCGCAAATTTCGCATTTTCATGATTCACATTTCACCCGAATCATCAGTTATTTGTCACGTATATATAACTTTCGTGCCTTGCAAAATTCTTGGAACGACCGTTTCAGGATGCAGGGATAACTTGACAGGACGAGTAATTGTCCCTAGAAAATCTTTCTACTGTGTCGTTTATCATTCTCCATCACTTTCCCTGGAAAATCAAACCTTTCCGAAATCTTTTATGGACTCTCCCGAAACTGGTGAAGATGCCATTGAGGCATCTGCTGAAAATGTTCGCTTCTGCTCATGCATTTCTTTAATGTATATAATGGCGATTCTTTACAGCGAGCCTTTGTTGAACGAAAGCTTTGATTATTGGAATGTTGATTCTTTGGATTTTGGTGTTCATGGTTGAATTTTAACGTTTTGATTTTAACTCATTTTTTTACCATCATAGGGATCTCCCTTTTCCGATTTTCTCAAAGATCCGTCCCCTATAAAGTCATCAAGAGCCAGAGCATCACTGTATGCACAAAGGCTTAGTAGGTCAAGTTTTCCAACGATTCCATCAGTGTTTAGCTCACCACATTTAAATTTGGATCGACCAACAACCTTACTTCAAAGGTTTATTTCTTGGTCTGATTCTTGATAACATTTTTGTAAGTCGCCCAATCTTTTATGCTCATAATTGAAGATCGTTTTTGCATGTTGATAGAGGTGGCATTGATGGATCAAAGTCAAATGCTATTAATCCTTCTGAGGTTGCTGGTGAATACCACGGTGATCCTAAGAAGTTGATGGATACTAGCGAATACCAAGGTGATCCCAAGGAGTTGATGGTTGCTAGGGAATACCAAGGTGATCCTAAGGAGGTGGTGACCATTCGAAATACAGCTAATGATGGGGGAGCACAGATGACGAGCCCAGTCGAGATTTCTCATGATCAAAGGTTGGATACCATGTTGGAATTTCCATCTGAAAACATGTGGAATCATGTCGGATCAGATGAGTTTAAGGAACATCAGGCCATGCCAACTCAGGTTCCACAATCAAACATTCAACCTTTCGTCTTACCGGCTACAACAGTCGATGATCATGTACCTCAAAACATGGAAACTCAATGGGATTCTAAGAATGTCTCATGTTTTAACCAGCTGGGAAACCCTTGTCAACAGTTTGCTAAAAATAGCTCTGAAAGGAAAAGGTAAGTTTATTATCAATCTTTTTACTAATTTTGGGAATTTAATCTTCATTTTTCTAAGCTATGGAATTTTGTTGAATTCAGGAATAGAGAAACGTACACATACAAGATTGATACATGTAAACTATGCAAGTGCAAGAAGTCCTATTGTTTGAAACTGTAAGTTAAAACATATCACTTACATTGCTAAAAGAAAACTCGAATACTATGCCATTTGGACTCGAGTTTAAGTCTTAGATACAAATACATATCCGAGATGGATATGTTCAGTTTTTCCATTTATTTGGAAGGCCTTAGGAATATCGTACACTCATTAGAATGTCCAGAATCCGGATACATTGTGTAATCGTTTGTTGTGATTGACAGTTATTGCGAGTGCTTTGCAGCAGGGATTTACTGTGAGGACTGTTGTGCGTGTGAGAACTGTTTCAACAAGCCAGATTACGAGGAAGTGGTTCTTGAAAGCCGACATAAAGTTCAATTGCGTAACCCTCTTGCATTTGCTCCACCAATTGTTAAGGCACAAAATGATTCACCAAATAATACTCTAATTATAAGTTCTCGAGTCCTACCATTTTTTACCCTTTAAATTTGTGTAATCTCATAAGTGTTTGACCTGTGAAACCTCTGCAGGGCGATGAAAGCTTGAACACTCCGTCAGCCAGGCACAAAAGAGGATGCAAATGCAATAAATCAAAGTGCCTAAAAAAGTATTGCGAGTGCTATCGGGTTCGTTGTCTATGTTGCTACGATTTTTCATTTTTCTAGAAATATTTATGCCTGATACTTATACCCGAGTCCAAGTTTAATAATGGCTGCCATCTTAATTCCTATTCTGATGAATGGTAACCTTGATTAGGAAGTTGATTACCTCTGATCAATCTGACTTCAAAAATATTCTCCATTTATTTTTAGGCTAAAGTTGGATGCTCTGATGGATGCCACTGTGAGCATTGTGACAATTCTTTTGGCAAGAGTTCAGGTTATTTATACTCTCTATCCCCATCTCATTTCACCTTTCATTTTCCAACTAATGATCCAAGCTTGCTCAACAAATACATGAGAGAGTAATTGTGACATAGAAATAATCGAACTTGTCTATGACGACACATTCCAGGAACCGAAATCAACACCATAACATAGACTTTTAAGTACTTAGTTTTCCTGATTCAAATGATGAATCGATTGATGTACGTATGTGAGGAGCTGAAACCCTTGCACTCATGCTTGCATACTGCATTTCTTTAATGATTAACAGACTTCACCATTCTGGACCTGCAGAATCAAAGGTCCAGCGAGCGGAAAGATGTAAGAATCAGCCTCATGAAACGTCGAATACAGCAGAGGTTATGTCCGATAGCATTAAGGTTGGGACTTCAAATCAGTTCCTGCCAACATGGGAAACGCTCACTGATGTAAACCAACTCATTGTACCGACACATCCTCAGTCAAGAGTAGTGCCTTCTTTCACATCACATGATATGATAGATTGTAAAAATGTCTCCCAGGCTGAATCAGAAAAGGGCACTAACCTTCATTGGTGGTCCTCTGCCTTGAACTCTAAGCAACTAAGTCCAAGTAAATTGCATTCCTTAGATGATATCAGTGAGATGATGGCAGATGATTTACCCAACTTCCTCACTGAAAATTCCAACCCCGCCAACACCGTGAAATCCGGCTCCCCGAATCAGAAACGAATTTCTCCTCCAAAGTTTCAGTCAAACGAGTTTGGTTTGAACACACCACCACATCTGAAAACTGCCCGTAAACTTGCTTTGAACACGGAAGTGTTTTCGCGTTTCCCTACTCCTACAACATGGTGTAACTTAGATCTTATGAATCAAACAGGAAATTACCATCAAAGTAACAATCATGACAAATTGTGTAACTTAGAAGATCTTATGAATCAAGCTGAAAATTACCATCAAGGTAACAATCATGACAAATGATACACACATATACACATACATATACACGCTTCTCATAGAGTGCGGATCCAGGTGTTACTGCTTTCTTAGTGGCATCCCATGCAGCAGCTACAAAATGCTGCAAGTTTCGATGCGACGGAGATGATAGTTCGAGTCGATATTCAAGTTCTTTTGTTAAAATAACGCATCTAAATTACAAGAGAGATGCACATTGACAGCTAGTATGTAACTTTGGGATCATTGGTTTTCAAGTGCTATCTTCGAATATTGGAATGATGGAAAAATTGAAGGATAAAAGGAAAATTGTTTGGCTTTTATTGTAATATTATTCTATTGTGATTTTTATTGAGATATTATTTATTTAAAAAAATTAAATCTTAGTACAAAAGTCAATAGATTTATAAAAAATAACGACTTAGGTTATTCTAAAATATTTGTTGAATATTTAATTTTTGGTCATGTTATATATTACATAAGGTAGTATTTTTATTGATAGGTGGTGGCATCAGTCTTAGGTTTTTAATTAAATTATATTGTAGAATTTTTTAGTCGGTATTTCTTTATTTTTTTAACTTTTTATCTAACATCTTTATTTTACTTTTTGTTTCTAATAAATCTGTCTTTATGACATGATTTTTAATTGTCTTTATAGAACAATTTTCTTTCGTTCTTTCTTTTTTTGACATGATTTTTTCACGGTCGTCTTTCAGGTAGACCCGGAATTAGGCTTCGACTTGAATAAAATGATTAGAGTCTCCATCGATCATTTTAAAAACAAATTTTAGGTTGATCTGATACCATCTTACCTTATCTGCGTTTTACCAGAAATATGTTGTATTTGGGAGTCGGTTACATTCAAGCAAGGATTAGCACCCTTGAACTACCCTTTCGGTACCAATTAATTTATTGTTTGTTTTAAGTCGTGAAAATTAAAATTTAAATTGAAATTTAAAAATTCAATTCAAATTACTTACCTTTGATCGATTGAGATTATTACTGAAATAGTAAAAAATAATGTTAAATTGAAAATTAAAAATAAAAAAAGAAAGAAAGAAATATCAAATAAAAGGAAAAAAACTAAAAAAAAAGGTTTTAAAAAATAATAAAAAAAACAAGTAAAAAAAGATAATAAAATAATAGTAAAAATGAAATAATAAAAAAAATCAACAAATAAAAAGAAAAGCATACTAAAATTAAAAAGAAAAATACTAAAATAAAATAACGAAAAGTTAAAGGGATGAAACAACAATTTTAAACAAATCAAAATAAAGAATCAAAATATTAAACAGTTCATGTACTATAAGTTTAAATAACCCAAAGATAAGTTTAAACAGTGTCTAAAAGTATACCAGGAAAACTTATGTACTAAAAATGTAAATTACCCTTTTCGAACAGCAAATAAAGGACTTAAAAATTAAATAAAAACATACAGACCCTGTTCAAAATTTAACACAAAATACATAATCAATGATCAAAATAAACATTTTAAAAAATATATAATATAATGTCTAAAATCCACAAAGTATATACCATAACAATCAGATGACCCAAATATAATTTTTATAAATTCAGGATATGAAATACAACATAAGTAAAATAAAACAAGTGCCCATAAACCAACTTTGTAAAACACGGCAACCCCTATAGTGTAATTTACCCATGCTAAAATTTCAACCCGGTCCCTCTTCAAAACGGTGTCGTTTTGTGTGGGATATAAATCCCAAGGTCATGCCTAAAACCCCCACTCTCATCATTTTTCCTTTTTCCTTAAAAACAGAGAGAGAGAGAGAGTTTATAAAAACTCTCTCCATTTTCCCTTATCGGGAAAATAATGCCGCCCTACGCCGGCGGCACCAACGGTGGCTCACGGCGGTCGGCACGGCGGCCGGAGATAGAGAAACCCACCAACGTCTTCCTCTCGTTACTCTAAAACCAAAACCCGGGCCCGTTTAGCCCCAAACAAACCCAAAACTCCTAGATCTAGGTTATTACCTCTCGGGAAAATAGCAGTTTCCGGTGACGTTTGGCTTTCCGGTGGTAAGAACTCTTTCCTCATTTCTCTTGTTTTTCCTTTCTGTTATGTTCGAATCTCCCCTGTGTTTTATTTTTTTCTCGCTTTTCCTCTGATTTTTTCGATCTCTATTGTGTAATTTTTCCTCGTATTTTTCTCTTGTATTTCATATTTTCCAGTATTTTGTATCCTTTTAAATGTGAGTTTACATCCTATTTATAGTGCTTATGAACCTTATTTTTGGGAGTTTGATTTTGAGTAAAACTCTCGATTTGTTGTTTGTTTCTTTTATGGTGTTGGTACTGAGAGGAATGCCGGAAAACTCACTTGCGTGGGACGTGAGGAGTTATCGGTAGCACGGCGCTGTGGAGAAGGGCTAGGGTTCAAAAAACCCTAAATGAACTAGTTTGGGTCTAAATCGGTTTGGGCTGTTTTGGGTAGTTGTTTTGGGTCCACTACTGGCTTCCGGGTTCTCTGTTGGGCCACGGTTTGTATTTGGGTTGTGGGCTTGGGTCTGTAAAAGAGAAAAAAAGAATGTATTATTTTAAGTAAAATATATATATGCTATATATATATAATTATATATATATGGATGAAAATTAGTGTCCATAGATGCCCTTCTTTTTCCATAGTCATATAACTGGAATAGGGCAAAGATTACAAGACACAATTTTCGTCTATGAGTGTATCCCTGAGTTTAGTATCTAATATCCTCCGTTGTAGAGTTGAAACCCGATGTTATGATTTGTTTGTCAATTTAGACTAAATCACGAAATGATTCCCTCGACGTGAGGTTGAGTTGAATTGGAAAATTCTGAGCATGATATCCTTCATCGTGAAGTTGAAACCGAACTCAAAACTTTGGCAAGTAGCCCCTAAATCATCTTCTAGCTCAAGATATTTCGTCGTGAAACTGGAACTTGACCTGAAGACTTCGGTGTTGCTGTGTTACAGATGACTCTTTTGTTTGGGTCAATCTTTTGGGTACGATATCCTTCGTTGTGAAGTTAAAATCATAGGATAATCCGAAAGCGGCTTCTTGTTACCATTTTTTTACCTTGGTCTTCTTCTTGACTTAAAGACCTTGGTGTGAAAATTTTGACTGGAAAGCAGTTTCTTATTGATACCTTGTGGTAAATACTTCCCCAAGCTGAATGGAATCGAACTCGACATTCTTTATTGACAGATAGCTTTTCTCGACTTAAGCTATGCTATAAATTTAATGTGCCCTTGAGCTGAATGAAATCGAACTCGAAGGTCTGTTGACAGATAGCCCTTCTCGCCATGAGCTATGCTGTAAGTTTGATATGTCCTTGAGCTGAGTGTAATCGAACTCGAAGGTTTGTTGATAGATAGCCCTTCTCGCCTTGAGCTATGCTGTAATAGGCTGGGAGATAAGCCCCTATTATTGCAGATGACTAATTTTCAGTGAAACTAAGTCAATCCACTTGGGCACAATATCCTTCGTCTTGAAGTTGAAATCATGGATGACTCCTTCACTGTGAAGTTGAGCTTTGAAATGGATATCCTTCGTTGCGAAGTTGAAATCCAAGTATTGTTTCACCAAATTGGATTTGAGTCGGATATCCTTCATCGTGAAGTTAAAATCCAATCTTGTGCAAGTTGCGTTGCTTCGAGTCCAATATCATTCGCTGCAAAGTTGAAATTGGCTAAGAATGAAACTGGAAATTTGTTTGTTGACAGACATCTTTTCTCGACTTAAGTTGTACTGTAAATTTGCTCTAAATGAAAGATGGCCCCCCTTCGCGGGTCTAAGCCGATCATAATTCTTCATATGACCCCAATCACGGGAAAGCCAAATGGTAAATTCTATCAGTCGAATATCATCCGTCGTGGAATTGAAATATGGCTTAATAACATTAACTGGAAACTAGCTACTCATTACTGAGTTAGGCTGAACTGGATCCGTTCTGAATTGGCTCTCGAACCCGTCTGAATTTGCTTCTAAGATTCGACGGTCTTTCAATATATCAAATTGGTTGACGTGTAGCTCTTCACTGTTGACTTAAGCAACCACCATCAATTTGTGATGAGCTTTTGAATCGAGTATCATTCGTCTTAAAGTTGAAACTTGACTATAAAAGCTGCAAAAATTATGTATGTGAAAAATGATAAATGTGATGCTCTTAAGTATGTCTAAGATGTATGCAACATGAATTAGTTTTGTTTTATCTCTTGGATAGAGTGTCGTGCTTTGTCTGTCGATCTGGTCTTTGGAATCGATCATGCCCTATTTTATTCTTGGGTTGCAACCTTTCACATTTGAGACTGTCCTGTTTGAAAATGTTTTTCTCCTTTATCTTATTTTAGTAGGGAAATAAAGGATATGAGAATATAAGAATTCTGTAAAATATTGCCCCTTAATTCAGGCTCACAATCTAATCTAATCATAAACATGAGTTCACATAAAATCAAAAGAATCAATAGCTCTTTCATGTTTTTAGAGTTATAGCTCTTTGACAAATATTTAAATTGATGGGTTGGTTTCAGGTTGGTTTATACTTTCCAAGGTTTCAGCCACCAAAATGTCATTTTTCCTCTGTTCTTTTAGACATTGCGAAATTCCCCTATTTCTTGGCTTGGTATTTTAATTGGATGCGGACAAAATGATACAACTAGCATAATTAATTACTAGACCTTCTATTTCGGTTCTCTGAAATTTTCCATTTGTTCAAGCTTCGTAAGCTCCTCTAACAAAGGCAGTCCAAAAATATCGATCTCAAAATGAAATTCTTGAGTGCTCGTGTGAAATTGACTATAACTGATATTCCTTAACTCCCTTAGTTCATCTTTACCGAAACTCCTTATTTAATTTGCCATTGTCTGGCTAGCTGGATCTATAAAGTCGGGGCGTTTAACTAATTACTCTAGAGGGATAGTTCAATATTATAATCACCTTTATCAGGATTACTGAATCTTATCCATAAAGCCGAGGCGTTTAACCAATTGTTCTAGAGGGATAACTCAAGCTTTATTGTATAGATATTGCCTTCATCAGGCTAGTTGAATCTTATCCATAAAGCCAGGGCATTCAACCAATTGCTCTAGAGGGACAGCTCAAGCTTTATTGTATATATAATATTATAATTTGAGAATACGGATCCAATTTCTTAATTTTTTCAAGAAGAACCTGTTATAGTCTAGGTGTTGTT